TTGGTGTGTGTGTGTGTGTGTGTGTGTGTGTGTGTGTGTGTGTGTGTGTGTGTGTGTGTGCACATGTGCCTGCTTGTGTGTTGTATGTCTATAAATATATGAATTTGAAAATATGGGTGATGGTGCATGCGTTCGTCTAAACACATCACATTGCACAAATAGTGGACATTATTTAAATGGTCAATACAGACATACTAGATCTATATAAAAGTAAAGTTGTTCCCGCATCCGATCCGGACATTGGGGATTGCCTTGCTAGTGAGACAACTTCCTGGGTCTTCGGCATATTGTGGTAGGGTGGCCAGTTCCTTTCCACGCCGCCTTTACTACCCCAACTCGAAGTCAGGTACCCATTACTGCTGGGTGGGCAGGAGGGGGCGAAAAAAATCCGTGTCAGAACCGAGGATCGAACCCGGATTTTTCGCTTAAGAGACGAGCGCGCTAACCGCTCCGCCACCGCACCCTCAGATCTAAGTATGAAACTCAAAATGCGCATAATTTATTAAACACAAACTCAATGCAAGATGAATACTCACGGTATCCCCGCACCTTCTACATCAAAGACAATTGAGGGAGCGAGACGATGATCGTAGGCGTACTTCCCGGCGAGGATCATAGATCCAATACATGTCAGGCCCATCAGGAGGAAAGAAGCTATAGGTTTCCTGTAAGTCAACACAGAGGTTTATGACTTGAGTGGTAGTTTGTTACTATTATTTTTTTTTTTTTTGGGGGGGGGGGTCCAGTGTCTTGATTTGATTGCGATTATTGGTAGGTTATATTATGCTTAAAATATCTGAATATTGTACCTATTGTTAGATGGTTCAGATAAACAAACAGAACGATTGCTTTGAAATATAATATTATCTTTTACATGTATTCAGTTTATTCATTCACTCATCTATCTTTTTAAAAATTGTATACCTTTGAGAATTGCAATAATGGTGGTAGTGGTTGTGGTGGTGGTGGTGGTCATGATGATGATGATGATGATGATGATGATGATGATGATGATGGTGATGATGATGCTGCTGCTGATGATGATGATGATTTTGATGTTAGTTTGGTCATTTGTTTGGTGTCTGCGCTAGATCACGAAGTCTGTCCTGAGGGGCAGGACACAGTCCACCGTTCCCAATTCTGGTCAATTATTTTCATTACGTGGCATTCCTTAGTCCAGTGCCAATGTGATGTGGTGTGGTATGATGTGGTGTGATATGATGTGATGTGGTGTGGTGTGATGTGATGTGGTGTAGTGTGATGTGATGTGATGTGGTGTGGTGTGATGTGATAGGGTGTGGTGTGATGTGATGTGATGTGGTGTGGTATGATGTGGTGTGATATGATGTGATGTTATGTGGTGTGATGTGATTTGGTGTGGTGTGATATGATGTGATGTGGTGTGATGTGATGTGGTGTAGTGTGATGTGATGTGGTGTGGTGTGATGTGATCTGGTGTGGTGTGGTGTGATGTGATGTGATGTGATGTGGTGTGATGTGGTGTGATGTGATGTGATGTGGTGTGATGTGATGTAATGTGGTGTGATGGGATGTGATGTGGTGTGATGTGATGTGATGAGGTGTGAAGTGAGGTAATGTGGTATGGTGTGGTGTGGTGTGGTGTGGTGTGGTGTGGTGTGGTGGGGTGTGGTGTGGTGTGATGTGATGTGATGCGGTGTGATGTGATGTGGTGTGGTGTGACGTGGTGTGATGTGATGTGTCGTGATGTGATGTGAAGTGTCGTGATGTAGTGTTGTGTGATGGGATTTGGTGTGATGTGGGGCGATGGGATCTGATGTGATATGATGTGATGTGATATAATATCTTCTTCTTCTTTGCATTTCCTTTCTAGACTTCATGGGTCTGTTGCACTTCTACCTGCAGTGCAATTGATATTAACGTATCGTTTTTTTCCTACCTCGTAAGGCCCCTTGTTTTCGGCAGCCACTTTCGGGTATCGAAGGTACTTTATATGTTTATTATGTTGGCTAGAGTATTTTCAGATTTAGTAGTAATTACTTATGAATTTTGTCAAGGTAGCAGCCGAAACCTATTCTTACAGGTTTTATAACACAAATGAATCTTTAAAGAGCACAACTTGCACCCAGGACTTCCGTGATTTTTTGGCCTGTATCCGAGGAAGCTACGTTCTATCTTACCTTCTCCATGATCAAGAGTGTGGATGAAATTAAGAAGGAGCCGGGACTGGGAGTAGAAATAGAAATAAACGAGAGAGGAGCGCAGAGGGGGCCAGCGGTTTGGGTGATTGGGGGTTTG